ATTTCTTCAGACGCTGCTTCTTCAGGTTGGGAGAATGTTAAATAATGAAAATCACAGATCATTAATGTAGCCACTTTGAAGTATTAGGTAAAGTAAGCATAAACAAATGTTTGTTTAAAGACAAACCAGATACAGGGTTAAAATAGAAATGTAAGCTACCAGCACCTGATAGACAACTTTTTTTTTTTTTTTTTTTTTTTTTGTGAAACAGGTCTCATAAATTCTTAGCAGGGCAATACAAAAGCTTACTTTAACAAGTTTAACAAGGGATTAACAAGGGCAAGTGCTGGATTCCACACCTGGGATGGGGCAATGCTGACTGTGTGTACAGACTGGAGAATGAGAGGCTGGAGAGCAGTTCTGCGAAAAGGGACCTGGGGATCTTGGTTGATGGCAAGTTGAATGTGAGTAAGCAGCCAGGAGGGCCAACCATGACCTAGGGGGCACCAGGCAAAGCATTGCCAGCCAGTGGAGGGAGGAGGGGTTTGTCCTGCTCTGCTCTGCATTGGGGTGGCCTCACCTTGAATATTGTGTACAGTTTTGGGTAATGGAATATAAGAAAGATATTAAAACTCTTAGAGGGTGTCCAAGGAGGGCAACAGAGATGGTGAAGGGCCTTGAAGGGAAGCTGTATGAGGAGCAGCTGAGGTCACTTGGTCTGTTCAGCCTGGAGAGGAGGAGACTGAGGGGAGATATTGCAGTCTACAACTTCCTTGTGAGGGGAAGTGGAGGAGCAGGTATTGATCTCTTCACTCTCGTGACCAGTGACAGGACTGGAGGAAATGGCATGAAACTGAGGGGAGGTTTAGGTTGGGTATTAGGAAAATTGTCGGAATTAAGTCGAAATGCCAACCAGCTAGCTCAGTGTTAGGGTAACAGAGCTGAATCAACTTTATCAGAAAATGGAGGGTTTTCATAGGGATTGGGGAGGAAGGTTCAAGAATATGGGAGGAGAATAGGAGGAGCATGCTAATCATCCAACTAGGATTGGGTATAGGAAAATACATAATAATAATGGCCAGTCTTGGCGAGCGAAGATCCGGGGAAGGTCTTTACACCTTCCAGCCTGCGCATTGGATTTTTTAGGTGAGACACAGTGTGCGCGGAACTGAGCCCACCCTTTAATCCTAAGGTTCATCTGCCGGGGCCAAGCGAGCTTGGACGGTGGCAGCGAGGTCCTTAGGACGTAGATGGGTTGCCTTTTTACAGGGCTAACGAGCTCCATCAGCCCGGGAGTGGCCCTGACCGGGAATCGAACCCAGGTCTCGGCGGTGATAGCGCCGCGCCTTTACCACTAGACCACCAGGGGCTCCAGGAAAATTCATAAACATAGGAAGCAAATACATATGTATGTAGGGGCAGGATAGCAACAGGGTAAGTCAGGGATTGGTCGAGCTGCTGTGGCTCCACGAACTGTCCAATGACAGCTGAAACTGGCTCTTGAGCACGATGTCCATGGCAACCACTTGCAACATGATGACAATTGAAACTGCAGCTCGACGACAATATCACACCTAAAAATCACTTATAATACAGGCTGTTTAACCACCATAATTATGTTCATTACAATCATAAAAATCACCTCCAACAGAAAATGAGGTTTTTCTCACAGAGAATAGTTGGGCACTGGAACAGTCTTCCCCAGGGAAGTGGTCACAGCACCAAGCCTAACAGAGTTCAAGAAGAAACTGGACAATACTCTCAGGCATGTGGTGTGACTCTTGGGGATATTCCTGTGCAGGGCCAGGAGCTGGACTCAATGATCCTTGGGGGTTTCTTGCAACTCAGCATATTCTATGATTCTATGACTTATTTAGTGGCTTATGGCATCATATTCCCAAGAAATGAAAACAATCTTTGAAACTTCCTTTTATGCTCAGAATTCTTCCTTTTGCTTCATTCTTCTTTAAAATGAATTGATCATTTATAAATATATCTCAATTCTTACAGCTCATTATGTCCATGGGCTTCACATCACCCAGGCCTACCAGAGTAGGAAGAGGAGGCATATATCCTTCTGCTGAAGGCATATCTGTCTTTTCCTGCTTAGCAACAACAGAATAAAGAGACCAAAATAAATAATAAATAATAAAGAGTTCCACTATGAGGAACAGCATCCAGGTAGCACTGAACAAAGGACCAACTGCAGCAGTGTTTAGATTCCCTGGTAACTGATGGGGTTGATGAGCCAGTAGAACCTGTAATGTTTGAAAGCATTGGACTGGTAGAAATACCTAAAAATATTATTTCCTTCCATTTTTTTTTTTTTTTATTTCATGAATCTTCCAAACATACTCTGGATGTTCTTTCTGTCTGTTGTTTGAGGAATTATCAAGTGAACTAACAATCCTTGTTGAACAAAAATCATCTAAGTTGAAGCTTTATTTTTACTTTAACTAAAATACACATTTTCTTTCACTGATTTCTTCTAAGTGAAATCATATAAAAAATAATTTTCATAAATCTAGCACTTCCTTGTGTCCAGAAAACAAGTGCAACCCCATTCCCTCTTTATTTAAAAACCCCCAAACTGCTATGTAACACAGAAAATGTCCTAACTGAAAGTACTTCACCACATCCTAAGTTTGTGCCATTCTTTTTTATAAACCTCTTTAGAAAAGCACTTCTGTGTCTGTGTCTGTGTCTCTGTGTGTGTGTGTGTGTGTGTGTGTGTGTGTGTGTGCAGGTGCACGTGCATCTGTAGAATGAAAGACAATGAATGATTTATCTCTTGGTAGCAAACTTTATTATTTCAGATCATATTGATAGCATTCAGTATATTGTTGATTGTATACTGAGTGCATAATTACAGGAAGACACCTCTATCATCACTATGATCACTGCATTTTACCACCTTGGGAGTCAGCACGGAAAGAAAAAAAAGATTACAGTATTATTTCATGCTACATCTTTTAAATAGTCTCCGCTCAAGTGAGCCCACAAAACCAGCTGCTGCTCACTACAGTGTCTGCAGGGGCAAACTGTAATAAATGCCCTGAGATTTGGCATATTATTTACAAAGAATTACGGAAAACCTGGAATTTCTGTCTCCTTAATTATTTGAAAAGAGGGGACAATCATGCCAGTGTCATTTGAATAATTATCCTTCTGATCCCAAGGTCATTACTTTTCCTGAAAAAACAGCTAATGCCTTCTACTACTGCTCCTGAAGGTGTCCAATATGACATATCTGTGACCTATTTCTTAGAACCAGATGAAAAAGTGACTTAAATTCTTCTTTTCTTTGAAGTTCCATATCCTCAAAATCTTTAAGAAAACCAACTTCCAAATTTTAGCTATAAATCACCTCCTTCTGAGGTCAGTTTTACACCTTGCAGAATCAAAATTAATTGGACCTAGGAAGGGAGAAGAGCAATGTATAGCCAACCAAGCATTTAGGTACTGAACGACGTATCAAGAAGAAATATTTAGTAGGATACCCTGTGTTCAGAACTGCTCCTGCCTCAAGCCTTCAGCTTCTGAAGGACATCCTGTGGAAGAGTGTAGGTACTGGAGGCAAAACCCCCAGTGTTCTAACTGTTGTATAGTATTTTGCTACATCCTCCTTCTCAATGTGTTGAGCAAGAATGTGCAGACCTGTCTGGGATCTCAAAAAATACAGCTTAGGTAATATTATCTACTTCCCCTTTTCCCCATTACATATATAAACACAAGTGTACTGGAATGAAAGGTGGAGGGATTTGGGAGTTAGAAAGACTCAAGATAGAGGTGTTTGAGAAAAGAGAGAATAAGGTAAATCTGGAAAAGAGGAAAGCAATATAAGTGGAAATTGGAATGGAACAGAGAAGCTGGAATTTGAGAAAGCACAGATTTAAGGTGAAAAAAGTATAGTCATTTGACAGAGAGAAAGGACACATTAGAAGATGTAAGAAATAGATGATTCTTGAAAGCCACTGTATGTGATTGATTGTAAGATAATTTAAAGTTTCACTGGGAGAGAAGAAACCTGCTTGTTGCAAAACTGAACAAGAAGTCACAGAACCAAATCCAGAGGAGGGAAATAAAAAGGAGTGTGGAGAAGAAACAGTCTCTGTTTCTTTGTCTTCTTCTATTTTTTTTTTTTTTTTTTTTAAATCCTAACTGCAACCTGAGTATGCAGAACCTTCTTGAGATTAAAAACATGAATCATGTTGCTATCATTCCATAAACACTGGAGTTGAAATTTATTGCCCATTATATTCTTTGTGCCTTCTTAGTGAAGGAACTAAATAAGAAAACACCTGCAAATTCTTAGGTTTCAGGTTTGATTTTCACCAGTTCACATTTGTGCTAGTTTGGGTCTATTAAAAAAAAAAAAAAAAATTTATGGAGGACATTGAACTATATTTGCATCAAAAAAAGAGATGTCTACTGAAGTTCATAATGAATGGGTTGTCATTTTTATAACAGAACTCTGAAGAGTTTTTTTCTGTTGTTGAAAAAAACCCCTGTGACTAATACGTGATTTCCCTCCAAGGGCTAGTTTAATGTGGAAAAGCGCTTTTCAACATTGAAAAAAAAAAGGACTTGGCACCCGAGCTTGTTAATAATCTGGATTTAATACAACAGATTTAATCTTTCCATTCCTTTTTCATGAATAACCTCTTTGGCTAAAATATAGATTTTTCTCATTGTCCTAATTTCTGTTTTAATTGACTTGCTGAGAATGAAAATTATTAGAGAATGTTGTGTGGTGAGCAGATTTGTTTGGATAATGTGGTTTTAACACCTCTTGTTCTGCCGAAAATACAAAGTCTTCCATAAAAGGATGTGATAGTGCATAGTTTATATACTACACTCATACATTAAATGTTCAGTGGGCTTACTTTCAGAGATTAATAAATAGGATGGAAGGAAACGTAAGGCGAAACAATGGAAAGGTAATATAAACAGAGTGATTACAAGAAAAATATTTTTATTGTTTCAGTGAAATTCAGCAATTTGTTTACACAGTTAAGGTCATAGTGTAGAAGTGTGTCCTGCTGATATCAGATTTCATGGAATTTGCAATATTTTCTATTTAAAACTGAAAATAAGTTGAACACAGTGCTTATTAAAAGTGATGGATTAGTAGCCCTCAAACTTTGGGACAGCACTAAATACTTCAGGATGCTTTATCTAGATTGACCTGCCATTAAACTTTCAGTTTCCTCTGGAACAACTGCATCTAGAAATGAGAGAATAACATGATTTTTCATAAAGTCCTTTGCTTGAACATAATTATCAAATATAACACCTTTTTTTTGGTAATGAGGACACTTGCCCACTAGTCACAGACACTTTTCTATACTTTTAATTAGGAAACACATTCTCTAAAGTTAGTGAGATTTATGTTGAGGAGAAAAATTACTTTAATTGCATCTGTATAAATTGATCAGATTCAACAGAAGAGGTATAAACTTGGCTATTTTGAGACAGACTCAAAGGCAAGACATGGCGTGACAGGGTCCACTCTAGCAAAACATATCCTTCTTTTGGTACTGCAGACATTTGTCTATACTGTGGTTGAAATATTTATAGGCCCACAGCAATAATGACCTTCAAATATTAACTGGAGGGAACTGTAAGGAGAGAGATGTTGAAAAGAATTTTATATTTTTATTTTCCCTCTTCATATTCTGTCTTGCAAGGTTTGCTTTGCTGGGACAATCCATTTCTTGCCTCCCAGTTCTTGTCTATGCCTCTTGATTTACGAGTAGAAAGAAGGCAACATGAGAAGGATGGAGCAACACTCCCTCCCTCAGATGAGAGTTGCTTCTTCCATAACACTCCTATATTCAAGAACCAAAAGGTTCAAGGCTGGGAAATAAACTAAGACTTTTCATTTTCCTCCCTCTACACCCTGTTCAACCCCCTGACAGCTCAGCACTGCCATATAAGATGTTGTGATCTGAACCTCCTTGAAGTTTTGCAGAAGGGAACAAACATTCATATTGATGAGACTTCACTTGGACCAGTTGTTAGTTTGTGAGATCCTGTTTTCTAGAAAGCATTTTGGGGTACTCTTATATAAAAGAAACTGTGTAAACTACCCAGTAGTGTCTCCTTAGGAACTATAACTCAGCATTCAAGTGAAAGATTAACAAAATCTTCCAGTTCTGTGAATGAGTTACATTATTAGTATCTTCCTGAGTTTTTAAATATATGAATTCTGCTACTTATGAATATTTACATCAAGAAGTTCATCAAGATTTAGATCAAGTAGTGTTATACAGACTGTGATCTCTGACTTCTGTGTGCAGAATGGTGCCTTTAGTCTCCCTGATGCATGCTGAGCAATCATTAAATAATCACATACATTGGGAAATACAGGGTGTCTAATTTTTGTTTTGTTGTTGTAAAAGATGTGAACTAGCAAGCTGTCATTTGGCTATTGCTTTTCCTTTAGTGGATTCCTTTTTCCTCTTCTCGTATTAGAAAATATTTCTGAGATTCTAGTCTTAGCTGTCTGCTCCTGTCCTTTAAATTTAGTGGTAACTTTTTCCCCTGAAGGTTACATTTTGAATCCAGACTTAAAAAAAGAAGAACAAAAGACTGCATCTATCACACTATATTCAAACTCAAGACAGATCTTGCAACAGAACTCCTGCACCTGTGCGTATCCATACTTTATATATATATATATACATGCATGATACTCAAGAACAATATCACCACACTGTGTTCTGTATTCTAAGTATATCCTCTCTAAATAGTGATCAGAGTTCTCAAAACATCTGAGATACTCCAAATAGTCCAGAAATAAAAGACAAAGCTGCCTCCTCTATCTACAAATCTTATTTACAATTTTCCCTATGTAAACTGCTGTTTATTTTCAGTTTGTGGCACACATCATAGTGCACTTTGATAAAGCTGATCCTGTTTCATCATATCCAAATTCCTGCAGGTATTCATGTGCTGTGTGATTACTTATTAGTTTTTTTGGACTCTTGCGCTTTCCACTTAAAAACCCAAACCAAAACACTCCACCCCCTTCAAAAACCAAATAGCTAGTACAACAAGTTGTCCCCTGACAAGCAGAAGCAACCAAGTCTAATGAGCTTGAGTTAATGTGCTACATCACCTGATTCCACCACCCTGCTAGCTTGGGTCCCCGGTAGGGTATATGACTGACTCAGTCACACCTATGCATGGGCTGAGGTGAGTGTGTGGACCAACCTGCTCATCTTCCTTGTCTTTCAAACATCCATTTCCACAGAAGAAAAAGTAGAGCAAGGTTTGAGTCCTGTAGGATAGGAGACCTGAATCCTTTCAAACAGATTTGAAATGCACTGGTACATATAGAAGTTCTTTGAGTACCAGGCAGAACGTGCAAGTGTATAAAGCCTCATTTCCTTAAGACAGCAGGGAAAAAATAGCAAATGTGGCAAAAATGATCATAAAAAACTACAATGAAAATCACTTTCCTCTCCATACCTTTGTTTCTACCTACCTGTTTCATCAGTTAGAAGATTTATATGAATCGCAAATGTTCACAAGATGAAGACAAGTACTGAGAATGTCTGCTGAGGTACTAAATCAGCACTTAAAAGACACTAAAACTGAATTAGTTGAATAAGTTCTTGCATATAGATAACATGTGTTTACTTGTCTAGTAGTGTTTTATTATTTTTAACAATAGGAAGTCAGAGTGACTGTGGTTTATAAACAAGAATTTTCAAGTATCAGTTCAGCAATTCAGGAACATTTTTTACAATTATTTTGTAAGCCAATGCCCAAAATATCTACTATTGCAGTTTTATGACAAATAATCTGATCGATTCAGCCAACATCTTGTCACACGTTAATCATAAGAAACTTTAAAATACAGCTATCATAATATATGGAAAAAAAAGGGAGAGATAACTATAGAGTAACCTTCCTGATCCACCTATCCTGCGCCCCCTTGCCTTCCTGATTTTGCTGTGTCCATCCATTCATTGTCTGCTGGATTCAGTTGTTAATGGAATGTCCTACTGTGCTAAAGAGCTTAGTGGGATGTTATTTACCAGGAATGCAAGTAACAATATGAGGCAGAACAGAAGAAAGGAAAATAACACTCACACTATGAACAGAGCACTATTTAATATATGAAATTCATGAGACTGAGACATGAAGGCATATGGTTGGTCCTTTACTTGAAGAGCTATGGCGGAAGTCACTCAAGAGTATGGTCCCAGGTAGGTATTCAGACAAACAGCAGGAAAACTGACCCATTTCACTTCCTCCCTTGCTACGTCTTTTGAGTTTTAAACCTGCATTCACATCTTGCGCTTTCCATCAGACTTGGACTGCTGGTATGTAGCCTCCATGAGGACTCTGAAAGTGGCTGTGTGAGCAGGAAGAATAGGATTTAAACAATTAATTTTGAATGACAACAGAAAGATGCATAATTTTATAAAACGTCAGAGGGAAGACATGATACTTATTTTCAAATAAAAGAATCCTCTTCCTTTCACCTCTGGGAAAAAAAAAATTAATAGAACAGTCCTATATTCCAAACCTACTTTTAAGTGCTATCTTAGAGATTGTTCAGTGTTTCACAGGAAACATTTCAAAGTTAATAAAATGTGTAAACATATTTCCACTTCAATGCTGTACTAACCTTAGAGTAACGTACTGTTGCAATCTTGGCAAAAATAGAACACCAGTGTAGAATGCCTTGTTTGAATTTTTAATGTAGTTTGAGGAAAAAAATCCACCTTAATGAGTAGTTTGTAACAAATGAATTAGGCTTCTTGCTGTGTTATCTCCTCTTAACGGGGAAGGAATATTAACAAACCACATATATACATTTATATATTTATATATATACACTACTATCTTAAATACAAAATTTATGCTACTGATACCAAGTGGTGATATGCAGTATAATGACTGTAAGTATACAGTGTTTTAATGCTGCTTCATGAATTTAGGTTATTTTCTTTTTTTTTTTTTTCTTTAGCATCACTACAAAACTTGGAAAACTTATAAATAATATTAATGAGATCTGGTTTTAATACTTCAATAGAAAGAAATTAATTTATTTCTAATGTGATGCATTTCTTCCTAATGTGTACTGTGAGACTGACTGAACAGAAAGAATAGCTGCTTATAACTGTAAAATAAAGGAAAGCTAAATGTAGTCCCCAAAACCCATCTATGTTGTGATACCACACGAAAATATAAAATACATAGGTTTATTGCTCAATTCTTCAATGTCATGTCAGGATCACAGCATGAAGAACACTAAAACAGCTAAGTATACTGATAAGAACTGATATACTGATAAGATACTTTCTTAGTATACTGATACTAAAGATACTTTCTTTAGTATACTGATAGCTACCTTATCATACAAAATAATTTTACAAAGTTACTTGTATTTTGAAACATACTATTCGGAAAGGACCGTGTAAGTGATCTTGTAAGATTATTCAGGGGACCACTTTTAATGGTGTCACTGGTAACATCAAAAGAAGACAGCGATTTATAGGAGTTGGGGAGAACAGAGTTTATCTTCACTTCTATCAGCCTTCCTGTTGGCAGCACTATCTTCTAGGGGTTGATAAAATACAATTAATATGATATAAAACACCCAAATCACTCTCCTGTGCAGAAAGTATCATTGATCTGCAAAGAACTTTGCGGATACCAACATGACTGATTTCAGAATTAGGGGCTACTCAGTTTGATCAGGTTGCAGCCAGCCAGCACAGAACTCAGGACTAGAAGCACCAACCTGGTCAATGGTGCACTCGCAGCTTCATTCCGATGAAACCAGGAAGCCAACTATTCCGGCATCAATATTAGTGGGATGCCATCACCATAAGGATGGACTAGCACTTAGTGTGTTTATCCTAACACTCTACCCCCATTTCATAATCAACTAGGTTGGAATCCATCTTGGAGATCCTTGAATCCAACCTTTGACCACCTTCTAAACTAGTCCATGGCAGGAGGTGCCACATCCAGTCTCTATTTCACACAGCACCAAGTGTGTCACAGGGACCTTATGTTGCAGGCTTCTGAAGACACCTAGAAGTTAACACTGAGGTTTCCCAAAGCACTTTTCACTTAAATCCTACGTCCCACACGCTGTTCCTTCTCTGTTGAGGATTGGACAGGGCAGGCTAAGAAGAGCCGGGACGGGTCCTTTTTTAGCCCAACGTTACACACATGTGCTGTCACTTGGCGTGGCACCTGACCGTTCTTCAGGAAGAAGATCTGAGACTTGCCATGCTCGAGGACGATCAACAAGAAAAAACCGCTCTGCAACACTCTGTCATACCCCTGGCGGGACGGGAGGTCCGGTACGCCCCCGGCAGTTTAACCATCTGACTGCGCACCCGCACAAGGAGTCGAGCATCCGAACTCCGGCGAATTTCTTTCGTCCAGGGAAGTTTTTCCGGGGTGAGCGGGGACAAGGGGCACCGTCTGGGCCGCAGCCCCCCCGGCCCCGCCACCGAGTCCCCCGGCCCGGCACGGAGTGACGTCAGCGCGCCTGCCCTCAGCCGCACGCGGGTGTGCGTGCGCGCGGTGGCCGCGCGACGCCGCTCCCGGCCGGCTCGCGGCCCGGGATGGGGCGGCTGCTCCTGGATCGAGTCCACATCCACCCGCTCCCCCCGCATCCCCGCGCACGCACAGGCACGGGCTTCGGCAGCATGCTTTCCGCAACCCTTGGGGCCGTACGGATCCCGTGGTCGACACAGCGTTAAGAGGATTAAAAAAAGAAAAATCACGAAAAAAAAACTCAACAAAAAAACCCCCAAACCAAAACAACAACAACAAAAACCGCCAGAAAAACCCCAAAAGCACAACCGTCTCCTCCCCCTCCCCCCCAACAAAGACTGCTCAAATAGCCATCCGAACCAAACCCCACAACAAACCCACGAAGCGGGAGCGCGCACCCACGGCGTCCCCCTTCTCTCCCCGAGGGGCGAGGAGGAGCAGGAGGAGGGTTGCTCGTGTTTCGGCTCTCGGGGACGGTTTCTGGGGATTTTTTCCCGTGCCTCTGCCCTCCCACTCCGCCCGCCCCGTGCCCTCTTTCTTCGCTTTTGTTTGCGCTGCACTTTTTGTGGGAAGGGGGGCGGGAGGGTAGCTGGAACACCTCGCTTTTATTTGTAGCGAAGGAATGTGCTAAAAAAAAAAAAAAAAGAAAGAGAAGAAAAGGAAAGGAGGAAGGGGGAAAAAAGAGAGAAGGGGGAAGGAAGAAGAAGAGGGAGAGAGAGGGAGAAAGAGAGAGAGAGAGACAGAGAGAGAGGGAGGAGAAGGAGGAGGAGGAGGAGGGGAAACGGAGCAGCAGCTCGGGAACAGAGAGCGCGCCCGGGAGCGGGAGCAGCAGCAGCACCCGCCGCCGCCGCCGCAGGAAGGAGAAGAAGAGGAGAAGAGCAGAGTGGAGCAGAGCAGCGCGGAGGAGAGGCGGCGCTGGCAGGAGGAGGCAGGCGCGGACCTGGCTCTTTTGGATGCTGGATTTTCGGACTCTCGTTGACTCTCTTCCGCTCCCCGGTGCCGTACTGTGAGAGACACGCAGGAGCGCCAGGCAGCAGTGGCAGGGCTCCGCTGGTGGCTCCTGCTGCTGCCGCTTCGGGGCTTGGATTAAATTGGCCGCCCCGGAGCCGACCGGGAGCAGCAGTGGGAGGAGGTGGCGGCGGCGGGAAGCGGCGGCAGGCGGGCAGGCGGGCAGGCGGCGGCGGCGGCTGCTGCTGGGACCGGGGGAGCCAGCATGACCAGGTAACTGCCCCGCTCCTGACCCATTTTTCCTCCGCCGCCGCTCCCTCTTTGCCGCCTCTTTCGGCGCGTTTGTGGGTGTGAGCACAAAAGTGTGTGTGCGTGTGCGTGTGTGTGCGCGCAGCCCGCACACATGTGCCTCGCACACAACTCTCCCCGCGGGTGCCCCGGGGTTCCCCCCCGGGCCGCTGCCAGCCCGCTCCCCGCGCCCCCCCACCGGTCTCAGCCTGGCAGCGAGGCCTGCTCGGGGAGCGAGGGGAGCTGCGGTGCGGGGACGGGGGATGGGGCAGGGAGAGGGCGATTGATGGATCGGAGTCGACGTTTCCACTGAGTGGTGCTGTACGCGGGCGGGGAGGGGGGAGTACGGTAATTACACACTGGCTGTTTGCTTTGGCGAGAGAATTATTAATATTAATTATTTTATTTTTACGGGTGGAGAGAAGGGGGAAGGCAGCAAGGGTGAGAGGCGAGGCGTCTGCCGCTGGGAGACGGTGTTTGGGGGTGAGCGATCGGCAGGGACCCCCCAGCGCCGGTCCGAGCAGGGCTCCCTTCTTCTCATCCTCTTCCTCCTCCTCCTCCTCCACCTCCTCTTACTCCTCCTCCCCTCCTCCTCCTCCTTCTCCTCCTTCTCCTCCTCCTGCTGTCTCTCGGCGGAGCAGGGAGGCACGGAGATGCGAAGCTTTTCTCAGGTTAGGCTTTTAATTTCTTGTTTACTCTCGCGAAACCACTTGAAAGGAAGCACATCGGGAGGGAAACTCAGTTTTCCGAGCGCTTACAAAGAGGTTCTTAAATTTGTTCAGCAAACTTAGCAGCTCCCTCTGCTCCGTCTGCCCGTACAAGCAGGCACTCCTCACTGCTGCAACCGAGCTTTCCCAGACTTGCAAATAAAACAGTTGTTTTCTTCCACCGAATCCCCTATTTTGCCTGTTTACTGTCCCCTCGGTTCCCTGACAGAACGGTATTCTTCCCTTTTTAAGACACTGCCACTCAGCCTTGCATGTATGGCTTTTGAATGTCTGCTTCTCCGTGATACTTTTTCAGAACTGCTGTCATGTGTATTTTATTCTTTTGGCTGGCCTTTGTACAGTTGCTGCCTCGTGGAAGGATGGCAGCTTCTTTACCATGATTTCGATGTCTATATTCCCAGTTTTGACATATACAGATAGCTCGGTTTATTTACACTGAATAGTTAGCTTTTTACGTGTTCCTACACTTGCTGCCCGAGACAGCGTTACATTGGGGATGAATCTACAGATGCTGATTTGCTTTGGAGTTTCCCATTTAAAGACATAAGTATTTTTGGTGACGTTTGTATTCTCTTAAACTTAGGATTAATGTGGGAAGCTATGATTTTCTTCTCAGTCTTTCAGAGATCGCCTTCAACATACCTTTTGTTCCAGCACAAACAACTTATGCATATTGGGACAGTTATTGGGAATTTTTATACAGAGATGGAAAAATATATCATATTTTTAATTCCTCTGGTATCTACTAGTGGCATATAATGCTATAATGGTCGTACTTTCTTTTCTTGTTGTAAAAGTGTATAGTAAATGACATCATTTTCTCCTGGTCTGGAAGCAACAAAGCTCCTACAATTCTTGTTATGAATGGAGCAACTCTGAGGAAAAAAAAAAGATTCTCCCCTGTCCGAAATATGATCGTATATACTTGTATCATACTTTAGATGCCAGTTTTCTGATAGCTTCTTTACATTCCCTCTCATGAGATGTGCTATAACTGCTTTTTTAATGTGTGAAATCGACAAACTGGTCAGCTTAATAAATTCAGCTGTCAAATTTCGCTCAATCAAAATTGCTAGAAGCTGTAACTATACTGGCTTGGGATTTTTAAGGTATGCAGTATTACACAGAAAGGCAGGATTTAATGAGAGAGTTTTTACATGAGTAGCTTTCCAATTTTAGTTTTGTCACTTGTGGTAATATGGTGGAGTATATTTAGATTTCTTTCAGCACAGAAATGATGTATAGCTTTTCTGTATCCACTTAAAGCACTGAAAGCTTTCTCTAAGTAGTAGTCTTCTACTCTAAGAAGACACTAAGAAATTCATTATGGTTTGTGTGTGCTATGGCAAGCTGTCAGGAATGGTGCATGGTAAGGAAAACGGTGTCTTTTTAGACCCATCAGTCATATTACTCTTAAAATGAACATTAAAAAATTATATGAATTTAGTGTTCTACTGTGATGGTTATGTAACTCAAACACCAGCACTGTCAGCGAACTCAATGGGTGATAGCAAATAAGAGCTTAATCTTAGGAGAGGGTTTGCAAGAATGGGCATGGGGATGTGTGAATGAACTAAATATCAATTTAGGTCTAGTCAGTGAATGACCTTTCATTTTTAACATTGCCTTTCGTTCCTGCCTTTGAGTAATGCAGGGACCAAAACTACACAGAGTAGGAAGAGTAGGAATTCCCCTTCATCTGCTGCTGTGTGTGCTGAACCACTAGGGGCCTGTATAAACTGCTCTCATACAGCAGATACCAGTGCATGGCATATGCTCACTTTCACCAGACATTTTTTACACAGGTGCCTGATGTCAAAAGCAAAGTTGCTAGTTATTTGTTCCTTACTAGTAAATGAGACTGCGGTTTCTTAGGAGATGCATACAAATGGTATATTATTTAGTTTTTATTCTTGCCCTACTTCATCCATTCCCCCAGTCCTGTATGGTGTCCAGCATACAGGACATTTCCATTCTTTCCTCCCTGCTTTCCTGACTGCTATGGGAATTGGGGGTGAACATTGACTCCGGAGGTGCAAATATTGGGCAAAGTTAGATTTGAGTGTCTGTCTGCATTTTCATATTTTCTATGAACTGAGAAAATAGGTTTGTTGCCTGTGTGTTTTTTTCTATTAAGTTAGTAATGATACCGTTCCCTGCGAGTATAGGGTTAAAAGATAAACTAAACAGGATTACTTCAAGGCAGCAACAGACATAGATTGATAGTGTATTTAAACTAGCTTTGTAAGTGTTATGTAAGTTTGAGAGTGTGTCGGCTCCAAGGCTTTGGCTGGAGTGTAGTCAGCATTTATGGGATGTGTACTATACATTTTTGAGTGTCAGTTTCAGAAATTTAAAATCCACCAGACATGGCATTCTTGGTAGACATTAAGCAATAAGGTCATGTATACTTACACTGTTCCATTGTTAGTTTTCAGTTTTTCAAACTGACAAGGCAGACAATTTGTAAAAGAGCACAGCTGAAATATTTGCATATTGGATTTCCTTCGAAATGAACTTCCGTTACTAAGCTCTTTGAGAATTTTCATTTGAAAGGATTTTCAAGCTGAATCACAGTAAGGTCATGGAATCAAAATGCAGTTTCCCTATGGTATGTTAATTTTTTAATAAGCTGTCTTTAAAACATCAGAGTTTTATATATCATTCGGTTTTGGGCCAGCAAGAGATTTTTTTGTCTTATTACCAATAACAGTTGTGCAAATATTGACTGAAATTAATTTTTGAAATGTGTGTGTGTGCCTTAGGTAAAGTTTTGATGAAATGTAATGAAAGCTTATTTAAAGATGTTCTCAAATGATAAATGTCTGTTCAAAACTGCAAGTTTTACTGACTGTCAGTAAACCAAGGCAGTGGCTCCGAAATGCAGAGGACAGGCACTTCATTTGCGCTTTGGATATCAAGAGGAGTAACATAGTACAGGTCTACTAATCGTTGTATTTCATTTTTGTGTAAGACTGTGGTGATTTTTAAGCTTTTGTTCTCTAACAAGCTGAGGAAAAGGTACAGATATTTACTGGTTTAATTTCAGTGTCAGTCATATAATGCCATTTATTACAACAGGAACTTGCTTTCGTTGTAATTCTGTTTAAAAACAGTTGGCATAACACAATCAACATGCAATATTTTTATGAAAACTCTCAATTTCGCATACTCTGTGAGTTGTTTGTTTGCTTAATCCTTGTTTTCTTTGGAAAAGGCCTTAAATGAAGCCAATTAATGAATGTACGCTGTCAACTTGGCAGCCTAAAGCAAGAATCTGTGCTTAAAAATACTTGGTTTTGTACTGTCAGGGATTTACCAAGAAGGAGAAGAGCGGAAGCTTACTTCTCTTGGTGATCTGCTACGGTGAAAGCTGCAGTACAATTGGAGAAATCTGATGATGAAGAAAAAGGTTGCACGAGAGTGCTTTACCTCTAAATTCCTTTCCAACAAGCTTCACTTCACTACTTGTTTAAGCTACTGTGCATTGATAGAGCCATGTTTACTACTGCACAATTTTAACATATATTTCAGATGGCTTTTGTTTGGTTATTGATAATAGTTATAAAAATATTGCATGTTTGTGTCTTCCTATAGGAAGTGGATAACTAGGATGCAGGGAAAATAGATACAAAATAGTAAAAATGGTTTGTTTGCAAAAAATTAGATTGAATTGAATAAATTACTGTGTAAATTCTGAAAACATTGCTTTTTAAAAGCTTAATGATTATTAATGTTCTTTCAATCATTTTATAAAAACAATTCAAACTGAATACCATCAGCTTATTTTTAAGTACATCATCACGTATACATAGTCTGTACTTCCCTAAAATATTCCGTAGAATTTATCTCTTCCAGTGTCTTCTGCTTACATGCTGTGACAGCCTTCTCCATAACCTTAGTAGCATAGAAACAGAAAGGAAGTTGATTGATCTTTCAGCAGAGTTTCAAAAGCGAGATTTTTTCAAAAATCAACTTTCATGTTTATACTTGATATCTGATGGGGATTCTGTGTGTTCTTTCGAATACAAAGAATGTGCAGAAAATGTCCTTTTCAGCCAACTGAGAATGATGGAATTTTAGACACTTTGATTTATTATACCAGAGGACATGCACTAACAGTACACTATCACGTCCTACGCTTCTTCATAGTTAAGCACAGTGGAGTTACTTGGATTTTTCAGTAATCTTCCAGTTATTGGAGTCACTCCGGTAGTATACAAATTAATTTGTTGTTTGCAGACAATCAAAATGGATGTCCTGGTTAGTGCCAGCCGAACTGCTCACATATTGTTGTAGTCAGATAATGCATACTTTCTTCCTAAGCGGTATATCGAATATGCTCTGTTGAGTAATACAAGCAAGTGCATTGCTCTTTCTTTTACTGTTTTTAGTGTTCTGGAAATTACATATCTGTAAGTCAAAGTTCAGTAACCGGTGTGTAAAATCTGGCTTTTTAGATGGAAGACTTGGATGATTCCTATGAAGAATCTTACGAAGTCAGCACCAACCTGACTGAAAGAAAGGTGGCTTAGGTCCTAAATTTGCAACTAAATATACATTTTTGTTACAAATTTGCCAAATCTTGTTTTGATTTCAGTGTCTCACCTTGTCTTATTCACTGGTTTTACCCAAAATCGTTTTTTTTTTTACTAGCTTTGACTCAGCAAGAGAAAATTCATATACATGTGAGTAGCAATGTCATAGTCTTTCTGATCTGCAGAAGATAATTGTTTGCTAAGTTTGAACTCAGTGATTCCTCTTGTTTTACTATGATGATTGAATTAAAAAAATCCTTCTTTTTGAAATCTCCTTGCCTCCCTTCATCTCCCCTCTCCTCCCCTGCCCTCTCTGAATGTTGTCTGCCTATGTGCAGGTAAAATTCATTCATTTGGGGTGAAGAACAAGCAATGAGAGATTTCTAAAACACTGATCAGAAAGTAGGACAGGAAGTTTTATTTATTTATTTTTTGTTTGTTTAGGATGATAGTGTATCTTAGAAAGCTGCTTAACTGCTGCCCAGTGCAGCTGTCCTTCCCTGAAAGATTAGGTTTCAGGAGCAATGATGGATGTTGAATGCCTGTAGCCAGTTGTGGGGTTTGCTCTGAGGTCAGTGCTGCTGATGGAGGATAGGAATTTACAGCCTTATATCTCTTTGCCAAAGTAACCAGTAGCATTTCTCAAGAAAATAAGCCCACATCAACTAGGTATGTTCAATGCTGAGCTTGTGTTGCTACCTCATTCAGAAAGCTATTCATACTAGTGAGAAAGAATAAGTAGATTTGTGAATAATAAGGATAAATTTAGTCATGAGTGTGCCCTTTCATTTCACAGGAACACACAGAAATAGCTTGAAAAGTAAATAGGATGATGTGGCTTAATTTAGAACTTCTTACATATTATTTTAACCTATGTCAACAAATTTGGAAATGACACTGTTCACTTTTTATTTCAGTTGTTTCAGATATGCTTAAAATTTTTAACAGCTTTTTGAGCATGAATGTACTCTCATTTTTGACCTAAAAATAGGAACTTTTTTTTTTCGTGGACAGAATATATGTTAATAGTTTACAACAGGCTTAACCAAGGCAGAATTGATACTCATCAGTGATTAAATGGTAGATATTCATCTGTTAGAAAGATTAAATGACATTTAGTGTTACCTTGTTCTGTTCAGGTATGACTATATATATAGCCCATACAGATGGAGAGTTGGATTTTCAGAATTTCTGTGTTTTCAGAAGTATTTGTTGAGATCAGATTTTCAGATTTTATTTTTGATTGGTCTACCCTCCTTAAACTGTTGAAGTTTGTTCTGGTATGCGGTGATGTGATTAATTTTTAAATACTGAATTTTGTTTGAGAAAGGTGCACAGAAAACCAGACTACTTTATTGTTAAGCTTGCAAATGTTTTTTGGGTTGTTTATATTAATTTGTACCTTAATGGTATAGGTGGATTTTTCTGTCAAGCCTTAGAAGAGCTGTCCTAATAGGCTCAAAGCCCCCACTGATGGGTGAGAAAGATTTTATTTGAAAGCAGCATTATTTGGATTAGATCTAATGTTCTCTTGTGTCTTTGCTTAAGTGGTAGCACTTTTACCCGGGGTAATCCTACCAATGGTTAAATTCAGATTCAGAGAAGAAAGCTTAATAAAGCATCTGATGACTTGATTTATAGTATCTCATAAATTAGAGAGTAAGAAGCATTTTGGTAAAGAGAAATACTTATCCAGCAAGAATCACTTTAGAGCAGTTTTGCATCAAGGAAATGGCATTTTGCCAAATGCCTATGTATTCTACTTACTGGCAGCATGCCATCAACTTTATTTGGAAAACTGTCTTTGCTTAAGTAATAAATATTCACTATTTACCAATTCATTTTACTATAAATAAAAGATGGATTCTGTTATTAGATTTTTTTTCATTTTTAACCAATTTCACAAAGAATGGAGTTTTGCTCATTACCATTAAGTGCAACAATGACCTACTCTTCCTTAACAGAATTTTTCAAACAGTGAAAGTGTTTTTCTTACCTTTTTTTGGGATGATTTGGGTATTTTGGTATATTATTTTTGCTTGACATGAAAAGCCTTGAATTATTCTAAAGTATATGGCAGAATGAAAAAGTGTAATAGTAAAGAAGTATTTACCTCAGTTGATGATACTCTAGTGCTTTTTTTTAATTAAAGTGGATAATCAGTGTAGACTTTTGTTGTCACTAAGTTAAATATGTAGAATTTACACCCGTTTCCCATTTAACATTTTCAAAAGTTGTCTTAAATGGTCGCATGAATTATCAACATACTGACCAGTTGAATATTTTAAATCTATCAATGGCAGTAGATAATGAAGAGAGCATACTTACTAATGCTAGCAGGTGTCAGTGAATGCCTGCTGGAACAATCATACCCCTGTAACAATCCTAGCATTCCTTGGGTTTAATTTTGCACGATTACAGTGACTCTGGAAAAAAAACCCAGTGTGTTAGCATTTTAGCTAACACACTGGGTTTTTCAGTTAACTTAGGTATAGACAGTTTGGGGCTGAATGGAGTAAATACTGTATATATGTAAAAAGGAATTGTATATTCTTCATCTGTTCTGTTGTAACTGATGGAACAGATACGTGTCCTTCTGGGCAGTGTAATCCCTAAAAGGACACTTACTAGGACCGTATCCCTTGCTGATTTATTCATAAGATTGCTTTATTAATCTAGTGCACAAGAATAATCTTATTCCAAAGGCATGAAAATAACTACTGGGCTTCTTAGTGATGTGGATTTCTATGTCTTCAAGCAATTTGAATTTATAATCTCAGTCAGTCTTTGTACTTTTTATTGGGGAGTACATAAACCATGGAAGGTGCAGTGGCCTTAAAACTTTTTTCTTCTTTGATGATCTCTGTCTGGAAGAGGCCAGCTTAGA